AGAGAGTATATTACATACCATATACATTTCGACACTTCAAAATATATAGATTAGAATATGAATTTTCCTTCTCCTTTTTAAAGTTCTCCTTTACTTTATATACTCATTCAATTTCTCAGAGTGTATATAAAGGCATGGAAATTGTTTGCTGGAGTGTCAGAAAATGAATTCAATAGCCAGGAAAAGCCCCTTCGGCTGGCAATTCATCCTTTTGAACGCTGCGGGCGGATGGGAGTTGCAGTGGAAAGTTCCCCGAAATCAACTGAATTCACTTCCGATTTTCCAACATTTCCGCAAACTGCATTTTCAATGCCGCCCGCCAATCCGACGTCGCTTCTGTTTGAATCAGAGGACTCGCTTTTGAAATCCTCCGATAGTCATAGTCAAAAGCATGCCCGAATCTGTCATCGGGCTCATCGGGGAATGGCTGCCAATGGAATGTGTTGTGCGTGAATTTATTGTCTGTTCTGGATTTTCCATGAAAGCTGACAGTTGAATTCGTATTTGTATTAATTTAATTAATTTGCATAAACGAAAGCTATTTTGTTTGAAATTCATTTAACGCAATATATGTATATTTGGTTGAAACTAAGTTAAGCATTAAATAGATGCGGTTTTTAATTAAGAGCATACAAAGTTCCATTGCCCAAAAAGTTTGCTGCTGACGGTCATGCGGCTTTGTAAGCTGATCCTGTTGGCTGTTTTGCGGTGAGCATCCCAACAATCTCAACCCCTCAGCCATACCATCCCATCCAGTCTGGCCCCTCGAAACGGCAACAAACTAACTCAATCCGTCTGCACACAATGCCGCTAAAAGTGCGAATTGTAAATAGTTTCTGGCATCAGGCTCCAGCTCCAGCTCCAGCTCTGGCTTAGCGATGGACTTTTTGAGTGAAGGAAAAGCCTGCAGGCGTCCACTAAGCAGCTATGAAGGAATCAAGTCGAGGGATTTCGAACAGGATATGAGATGCACTGGCAAAAAGGGAAGGTAATTTATAATTCTCAATATTTGTCCTCTTCCCCATTGAACCACATTCTTGCACCTTTGATACTACTCTTAAATAAATTCAAAATGAATAGTTTAGAATCCTTTGAATATCCTTTTCCTTACAGTGCACTTTATGCACTCTGTACCTTTACACCTTTCCTGTTTTCCAACTACTACTGCCTGGTTTATTCCTCGATTTTAGTGCAACTTGTTAAGGAAACACGACGCCAGGCTTCCATCTCTAGCCCCAGGACCCCGCATCCTGCTGCAATGCAAGCAATGCCTTCCTTAGTGCCTTTTTTATTCGGAAAGCGTGAGAGAGTTAGCGGCAATGCAAGGCGGCGCGACGTTAGTTTGTTGCCACTCTGCCATTCTGCCATTTTGCAAGAGCTCTATCAATGTGAATGTGAGTGCACTGAGCGAAAGAAAGCTTAAATTATATATAGAACAAAAGTTTGGTTAACAAAGTAGCAAACAATGTGGCCTCTTTTAGTTACAGATTTTATGAGAATTATGTTCAAAAATTTAAGCTGTACCTAAACCTAACATAAGTAACTTAAGCAACTTTTAAGAAGACTTTTCCCTGTGTGCTAGTACGAATGGGGCTTCCCCCGGAACATCAGAGTGTATGTGTTTCTCGGGTAGAAGTGGGGGTAAATTATTTGCAGTCACTTGGGCAGGTTGTTTGAGTTTGCAAGGAGCCAGGAGTGGAAGCACTGGGAGGAGCAGTGCCTTCCAGGCCACTTGAAGCCATCGCGCCTTCGCCAAAGACTGACATTTTGGTCGCTCCGGCTTTGCGGTTGTTATTGTGATGCTGTTGTCATCATTACTGTCGCCAACTCGGCTGCGATCGTGGTTCTTGTCTGGTTGGTTGCACCATTACCATTACCATTTGCAGTGCCATTTGTGGTTTGATTTCTTGTGTTCAGCCGAAGTCACGCCCTACCCATTGTTGGTGCTCCTCCTGCTGCTGCTGCCTTGATGGAAGTTTTGTGCTTTGACCTTTGGAGTATGCAAATTAATTAGCGAGCACAAAGTACGCACTCCCTCACACAATCCCTTTTGAGGAGCAGCAAATTGCTTAAAGTGTTTGGCAACGAACGCATTATGACACGGAGCCCCGGAATCTCCATTGCTAAACGCTCTGGCTGTGTGTTGCATACTTATGGGAGCCCAGACCTTAATTAACTTTTAAGCACTAAGAGCACTGCAGTTGCGAGTTACGAGTTACGAGTTAAGAGTATTTCGGAAAATTGTTTGATGCATACCCTAGAGACTCTGGGGATTCTGCACATTTTTGGCAAATTAAATTTTCGACTTTCGTTTCAAATTGCGGCCCCCAAAAACTTCAATTGAAAGTTGATTACCTTCCCCCCTCTTCCGGCCGTTTGGCCGTAAATTTGATCCCACTCTGAAATTCAATTAGGTCGCTCTGTGCGTAGAAAAACCGAAGGAAAAATTGTTTATTTTCTCCCGATTGAATGTGCCACGGGGGGCCACGGAGCATGTTGCGTGCATTTGCATATATTAGGTGGCCATTCAATCGGAGTTCCGATTCGGTTTGACCCACTTCTTTGCTGGGCAGTCAGGGCAAACAATTCATTAATTGTCCACTGCGAACGCGAGTGGAAAATAAGAGTAAATAGACCCCGAGGCGGTCATGATTGATTGCGGAATTTCCTCGGAAGGGAGGAGAAGGGAGTTGGAGAGCTCGGGGGTTCCCCTTATCACGGGGCAGGACTTTCAGGGCACGCATGCAGATGGGTGATATATGCGGGGTTGTGACTTATCTTTCAATCGAAATGCCAGGCAACGACCCTCAGACAGGCAGGACTGGAGTCTGCTGATACCGGAGGAGAGCCATAAGAAATGGTTAAGTATGGGATATATGTCTATCGACATCCACACCCCTGTCATTCCCTTGCCACTTATCACAAATGTATTCACATCGTAGAGGATAAAATAAATTAATTAAGTCCAAGTTAGGGCTTTCATCATTACCCCTAAGCCAGTTTTTTGCTATGTGCACCATAAATCATTCGGTTGAAATTTAATTTATTGTAAAAAAGTTGTAAGCCCCCAACTAAGAGATACTTAGTCGCCAGTGTTTGATTACAAAATGAATTAAATACCTTTCGGCGTTTATACGGCAAACGCTTAAGCTTTCTTAAAATAATAATCAAATCAGCCGATGTTTTATGTCAAAAGAGTGATATTAAAATGTTTACAAAAAATATAGATTTTTTCGTGTTTAAATATACAATTTTTTACATGGTAACCAAGGTTTTATCATAGCTATGCTAATCCTCTCATTAAATTGAACACATATGTTAAGCAATATGTTCAGATACTGTTTAAAAAAATGGGTAAACTCCTGAAAAAACGCCAAGAGGAAAATTTTTATCATGGTGATTTATTTATCAAATTAAAATTGAAATTGGAATAAATTAAACTATGTAAATTTATGTGGCTTTTATGCTAAGTAAACCAAACAAGATTTATTGATTTTATTGACTTCCTCTACGGAGTTCCAATTGTTTATTTATGTTGCATGTGCATATTCATGGAGAATCACTCGTATTGTCAAACACTTGACGACACTTTGGCAATGATAGTTGGAAATGGGCGGAAGTCGTTTGCTCCACAATATATACACGCATTCTTTGGATAGGAGTATCTGCCTTCGCCTGTCCTTGGGTGGCTCTGGTAGGAGCACAACTTTTTGACAATTGATGTGAGCAAATACTTATATACTTATAGATAGACCCGCAGATAAACTTGCCTTCCCCTCACCCCGTCAACCCGTCGCAGTCAGACAAATTGCAATCCAAGTCGGTGCTCCTTTCGCCCGTGGCTGACACAAAACTCAGACTTCAACTGGAGCCAGGATGCGAAGCCATTGATACGTCCTCGACGCATTGCCAGTCGCCGTTCTTTCGCACAGTCAATTTCCTTATATTTTCTCCTTGCTATATTTTTTTATATTATTTTCCCTACGCTTTCCCCTCTTTTTTGTTGTTCCTGTTGCAAACTAAGGTAAATTCAATTGAATCGAACAGGGAAGCGGGTGTCTGATCAGAGGACGAGGATGGAAGATGGAGCCTCAGCTTCAGCATGCCACAATAGCGCTTAATTTTCAACGCTGCAACAAGCGGCTGACAGGGGTTTTGTGGGCTGATTGTGATGCTCGAAGAGGATGGGGGGTTTTTGGCGGATTGGTGGATTTGGGGGGTTGCCCATAAATAATGTCGAGTGGGGGCGAGTGGGGGCGGTATCTGAGCTGATTTCACGTGTGTGCGTCTCAAGTTAACAAGACTTTTCGCTTTTACTCAAACTCGCAGGCTAACACAATTTCCAAAAGCTTTTGTCTTGCCACGACTTGGCAGAGGTATATCAGCAAATCTCATATAGATGTGCACTCAAAGAAAATTGTCACCGAATATGGATGAAACTTTGATAACTTGGTCAAGAGATTTGTTATCTTTATTATCTGAGTAAGTAAAACATTGATTTAAGCTTACTATTATAGTAATTTTAAGAAGATATCACATAAATATCAAGGGACTTTGGCTACGATTGGATTAAGGATCAAGTTTTAAGGTTGATTAAGGATAAACTTCCATTCCATTTAAATTATTTAACTTAATAAATTATTATTTAAAGATAAGTTTTATAATTCAATCATATATCAAGAAAACAGCAAGGGATTTTGGCATCGAATTCAAGAAATCTTTATCTTCAACTTTAGAGTTTTCAGGTTTCTTTAAAAAGGCCTTAAATATTCAGAAAACTCTTAAATTTATTTAAATTAAATCACTAATCAAAGACTTACAAATATTTTTCCAAAATATATTATTTTCTTCCCCACATATCCTCTTTGTGTAAAGATATAGATCCCGGTTTTAGAGATTGGCTTAGAGCGGAGTTGAATCAACGCCGTGGCAAGGCAAATGCGAAGCCATTTCTGTGACCCATGCCATGTATATGTATCTATATGTGCACCCGTACTCACCGGCCTTGCAGGGATCCATGTCAATGTCTCCGGATACCTTTGGTGTCACATGCAGGCGCATCAGCTGCTCGATGGTGTATTTGCTGCGGTAGGGCCGTCGGAGTCGCCGTATCGTGCCCAGATATGCGTCGAATTGCCGGTGGTGATGGTGATGCTCACGCTCCCGTTCCTCCTCCACATCCATCTCCCTGGATACCTGTGGCTCAGCGTCTCTCTCTTTAACCGCCATCAGATCCTCGGATACCGAGTGGCCTCCCGTTGGCCGCGGGCTCTTGGCATGCACCGAGATGAGCACCACCAGCAGACCGGTGGCCAGGAGGAGGGCGCAGTTGGTGCAGCTAACGCCCATGGGCGTGCCACGCCGCCTACGCATCGCAGTGGTTTCCAATTCGTTCGCTCTGGCTTCTTGTGATCTTATTTCGCCTTTTTTGTGGGATTTTTGCTGCTCACCCGGCTGCGTGACCAGTGGCTCGTTCGGATGCTGCTGGTGTGATGGTGTGCCTATCAGTTTGCACTTAGTATTGTATTATTTCTGCATTTTCGCTTAGCACGTGCCGGGCCTGCAATGGAAATGAGAGGAGAGTGTTCGGTTGAGCAAAAACGCAATAGCTGTGATTAGATTGTGGAATGTCGCTCGATGCTGGGTAGCTGGTTAGCTGGTTAGCTGGGAAGCAGCTTCATTCAGGTTCACACCAGACACGGTGGAACTGTTTCTATTTACTCTACCCACCGACCGACCGGCAGTAGTTCGTGCGGTTTCCATTCTCAAGCTCTCGGAAACCCACTGATAACCCTTTGTCTTTGTCTCAGCGATAGAGCTCGGCTCTGGTTTTGTTTTGTTTAGTTTTTCTGACCATGAAATATAGTATTTACCAACACCGAGGTGGGTTGACAAAGTCGTGACATTTCACTGGAATAGATCTACATAGATTCATAGTGCTTTTTACCATGTTTGGTATAGTATTTCTTTTATAAGAATACTTCTATAGATTTATTTGTTGGTTGTACTTTTGAGACTACTTTTTAAGGGCAATATATTCAAAAGTATATGGAAAAGGTTAGATATTCTTATTTAATTAAATTAATAGCTTATTAGTAAATCCAAATTTGCTAAATAAGCAAAAGTTATTGAGGCTCTATATATATTAAAATCTTTGAAACATCTGTATTTTTGATTTCCTCTGTGAATCTTAGGGTCTGTGTTCCCAAGCCCTCTGAACCGAAGATAACCCTTTATACTGCGGAATGACACACCATTTTCAGCTGAGATTGTGTATTGATTGTATTGTTTACTCACTCTCAAATAATTTCTTTCGTGGAAATAAACAGCAAACTCTTACAAATACAACACCGAAATAAAGTAAATAAATAAAGATCAATAGGCTGAAATGCCACATTTCCCTTTCAATTCTCCCTGGGTTAACCCGATTTACTTATGCATTTTCAATCGAAGATATAGCTCGGAAAGCTGGAAAATTTGCATACAGAGCGGCTGGAAACGGATTCATCTGCTAATTCCGAGCAAAGTCCCAGCTGCAATCTATGCAGGACAAATTATGCAGTCCAAACACTGGGGAGGGAGTGACGGTCTCATCAAGATTGAGATGCTTGTACAAAATATCTTACGGATAGCAGTAGCCTGAGGTAGCTAGAGCATCCGTTCGAATATTTGCATATCTGTAGGGCCACAGCTGCGGGCAGAATAATAGTATTTCAAGAGTATTTTCATTATTTTGCATACATAATTAGGCTTAGTGTTTATAATGCACAGCTCAAAACCAAAAATATTTTAACGATTTAACGAGAAAAACACCTTGACTTAGTACTCAGCTCTTTTATTCCTGCCTCAACCGTCGTCGCCGTCGTCTCTGGGATGTTTGTGTGTTCACATCTGGGCCCCGGGGCCATCATAAAAACTCTGGTAACTGGTAGCTGGCTTGCTGCACTAAAAACAAAGGAGGTGTAAAATCTAAGCGAAACCCAAAGAGCCAACAACAGATGGACGGGGAGGGAAAGTCGATTAAATGGAAATGGGCAGGCAGGCAGTAAAGTAAGGTACCACAGGCTACAGGGGACAGGTAAATTCTAGCCATCAACTTAGCACTCAATTAATTCTAAGAGAGTCAAAGGAGGCGGACGGACGGTGAGCAGGATCAAGGAAAGGCACAGAGAGAACGAGAACCACTGCCACCTTGGAACTATGCACAATAACAGGTAATTAAAAATCGCTTAGTCCCGGCCGAGGAGGAGAAGCCCAGGCAATTCACAAAACCTTTTCAATTAACTTGAATGTTTGGCCAAAGCCATTGTCATCAGGCTGTGTTCCTGCTGCTGTTGCTGCTGCTACTGATTTTACCCAGCAATTGTGGCAATTTCATTAAATCATTTCATTTCCGGCCCCCACAATCGCACACACACACATCCGTGCAACAGAACAAATCAACGACTCGGCTGGCTTTTTATGGCAAATTAAGTTGCCTTTTGTGCGGTGCGTTGGCAATTCAAGCAAAGCAGGCAACTAGCAAATAGAGCCAAACACCAACAGCACACAGACAATTCCATGGGCCATGGGCCCTCCTCTGGCACAACTTTCTCGCAGCCAAAGAAAACAGTTGTGGAGCGAATGGTATGATGGCAAAGCCAACGGGAGTGCAACATATTTTCTTAATTTCATTTCATTTAATTTCCCTCCGAACAGGAGCAGCAGGAGCTGTTTAAGGGGGCCCAAAGGGATACACGGTGGAAAAACAGAAGGGGAACTATCTTCGGGAAGCCAAAGTTTGCAGTTTTCAATTGTATTAAAGGATTAAATCGGAAATCGATAATAACTAAGCTCAAATTCAGTTGATATTTTTATATGACATATACAATTTTAAAAATTTCATAACTAAGCAAAAATTGCATGAAATTCAATTCGGAAAGCACTCCTATGTTAGTTTTTATTAGGGTAATAAATCTGCATACATGATTTACAATTTTTAAGAAATTGAAATTTTGCCAATTTTTGACAATTTTAATGATGTAACCCCTTATAAAAATTTCAAATTTTGAAAAAATTTCAAAAATTTATTTTTTTACCGGACATGGCTAGATCGGTTCGCCAGTTGATTCTGATCAAGAATATATATGATTTATAGGGTCGAAAATGACTCCTTAACTGCGTTTTAGGGTTCTGACTACAATTAAAGTACCCTGGAAGGCTATTACTTTTTTGTATACACATTGATTAAATAACCATTTTATTCCTTCTATACAGGAATTCAAAATCCTTTCCCAATCACAGCAAATATTTATTATTTACCGTGTAACAGAAGCAGCCGCATCGGCAGCCATTTCCATAATCCTCGCTCGCATAATTACGTATACGCCGCATGGGACGTCGGAAGACGAGGAGAAGGACGCGAATGATGATGATGACGCCGCCGCCGTTACTTTGCCTTCTCATTTAAGCGAAATTAAAAATTCAATTGATAAATTCCAAACTAAATAAGCACAGGGCGAAAGGACGAGCGAGAAGTTACTTGAAATGTACGAGTAATATTTCAAGGACCTTCTCTTCCACCTTCTCTTGCTCCCACTTGATTTTTTTTTCCGGCTTTGTTGCCCGTCTCTGGCAGCAAATTGAAAATCGTTGAAAAGTATGTTAATTGGCTGGAGCTAAAGTTGCCCCACACTTCCCTCAAGCCACTTTTCTCATTATGGAATTTATGCAGAGCCCAAAACCTTCATCTCTACCCACCCAACCATCCGACCCTCCATTCATCCATCCATCCATCCATCCGTGCATCCATTCTGCGGAGAACACGGCTCTTATCGCACCCACATGAACAGAAATAGCAAATATAGCAAATCAGCGATGCTTCAGAGTTATGACTTCTGGGTCTGGGTCAAATCTGGCGTAAACAAATCCCAAATCGATGGCGCCTACGTAATATGTAGGTAGGTGCAAAACAAATGGGGGGCTGTCGTTTTGGGGCGGCTATTAGCGAGAGTGCTCTTTGGAACCAGCGACTCTTGATGCGCCTTCGATTCGCATTTGAAAGCTTTAAGATGTCATTTTCAAATGGCACGCGCCATTTACTTTTAGTTTAATTAGATGAGATAAGCAGCAGATCCTGCTGAGGCTCCTCCTCGAGTGGAGGCCATCAATCAGGCTTGTCAAGTGCTAGCAACTTTCCAACTACAGGAGCTGACAATGACAAGCGTCAAGTGGCTGGGGAATCCTTGTTTTCCAGCGGGGGCGTCTCCATATCCCTGCCTCTGATTTGTTCGCTTTCCGGAAGTGGCAAGTGGCAAGTGGAAGTGGAACTGGGACAGGGACTGAGAATGCTTGTGGGTGTGACCAGGACTAGAGACGCCCATCCATGTCTTTGTCGTTTTAGTGTTTTACAAGAGCAAATCCTGACAGGACAGCGCAGCTCTTTGTTTGCCTAATTTTGATTTTCCCCTTCCCTTTGACAGTTGGCATTTGCAGTTGCCAACTATCTTTGACTCGATATGAATTGAAATGGCTCTCGAATGGATTTGAAAGAGAGCCCTCTAAATGGCAGGATGGTAGGATTGAAATATAACGGGCGTGACTGTGGATGCAACTCCGACCAGTTCCGGAGTTCTTTGGCGCATTTTCGCAAGGACATCGCATCGAAATTCAGGACGCAGCCGTGGCCCTGTCTTGCCTAACAAGTGGGAGTGGGACTGGCAATGGGACTGCCTGGCGACTGTGCCTCAATTTGGAAACAACTTAATTTCAATTACTGACGCAAAGGCTACTGCTTGGATGGCCGAAATGGCATAATGAATCGGGCATCTGCAGTCCGGGAGGAAGTCCACAGTTTGGACTCTCGACTCGAGTCCGCTGCGGCCGACTTTTATGCGATTTAAAATGCTTTACAAGCGCAAAATGCAGCCAGGCGGCTGAACTAACAACAAACAGCCAAACGCAAACAAGCAGAGCGACAGACAGCCAGAGCTAGGATGGAGGCCAGGGGCCAGGACATGGACACGGACACGGACACGGACACGGACCCGAATCCGGGCACAGATACAGATACCAACGAGCCCGAGAGCAGGCAAAGCCAACGGCAAATAATTAAACTTGGCTGCCTGGCACCTGTGGCCCTTGTACGCCGGATCAGAGCCGGGGCCATGGCCAAAACCAGTGGCAGCACCCAGTCCTCTGGCTCTGCCTGGTTCCTGCAACTGTAGCACAAAACGAAATGAGTGGGAGTGGGTCGAGTCCTGATTATTTAGCAGCTTGGCTTGGCTTGGCCCGGCCCTGCTTGGCATGTGAATGTAAATAAAGTTCAGCCATAAAACACCCCGCAGACTGACAGCCACCCGCCCGCCAATGGGGTCATAATCTGCAGCAACAGCAGAGCCCCCAAGGGTCCCTAGGAGAAGGGCGATGCAAATAACCACAGGGCCAGCTAGGAGCCACTGGACACGGGACGCCATAGCTGTCCGTAGACGGTTCGGGTTCGGTTCATAAAGAATCTGCGATTTATTTATAAACTTGCCTGGCAGGAGCGGCACTAAAGTTAAGAAATAATTAATACTAACA